GTGTGTGTGTGTGTGTGTGTGTGTGAGTCAGTGAGGAAAACGTAGATGAGACCGTTCGGTGTTTGGAGAAGTTAGCTGATATCTCACTTAAGAGTGGACTGCAGCACAACCTGGTGGACGCCTACCTGAGTCTGGGTAACATCTACTTTAATAGGGTACGACAGACACACACACACACACACACACACACACACACACACACACACACACACACACACACACACACACACACACACACACACACACACACACACACACACACACACACACACACACACACACACACACACACACACACACACACTTATTCTTATTAATCTCTCGCTCTCTTTTAGAGTCAGTACCTGAGAGCCTGTGAGTTTTTTCTGCAGGGTTATGAAGTCGCCCGTGACCTGGGAGACATTCCTCTGCTGGAGAAATCACAGGTAGCGTTTTGTCCATCGGCTTTCTGTGTCATGAAGAGGGTGACCCCCTGATAAATGTTCTCTTCTGTCCCTCTCAGGTGTTTGTTGCCACTGCTCGCGCTCAATGCCTAATCAGGAAGTACACCGCTGACCTGAAGTCGGCCACGCCCACCGCCCTGCAACGACTTCTGGCCTGGGGAAAACCCCGAGCAGCTCAGGATTTCAGTTCAGACTCTCCGGATGATCCTGAGTCTCCCATGTACCCCTGATACTGATAAAGACGGCTGTTATTTATTTATGATAGCAGCTCAAACAAACAGGCTGTCGTTCATTTTTCTCTTTAGAATCAAATATTTACAATAAAAAAAAACGTTTTTGGATGATTTCAGCGGCATGAGAATCTGTATTTACAAAGGTCACATATTCTCCTCCTCATCAGTTTAAATAAGTGTCAGAACTCCTCAAAAGATTAAGTTTCTAGTTCTAAATCCTCTCTAATCCTGATCCTGGTCTTGTCTCGGAGCACTCTGGTCCCAGGTCTGTCTTGGTCTCGGTTAGTGTGTCTTGACTAACTGACACACGTCATTGCCAGTAAAATCAAAAACACATCTTAACAATCATCACATTTACAAACATTACAGATGTTAGATCGAGGTGCGAGTTCACAGTCTGATAAAAATGAAATAAATGTTGTTTGAAAAGAAGACTACTTTACTAAGTAGTTAGAAAGACTACTGACACACTTCTGATATCAGGTTATACAACCTTTAAAAGTCTTCAATTATTTAACTGTAATTAAATAAACGACTGACTTAGGCGACAGTAGCTCGTTCTGTAGGGAATCAGAGGCTCGCCGGTTCAAGTCACTTAAAATGATGATCAAATTTTCTTTAATAATTATTTTCATTAGAATTTTGTAAAAAATGTGTGAGCACGTTTTGATGGTTCATTTTTTTTAAACCACAGTAAAAAAAAATATTTATCTAATTTTTTACCGTCAAATGAACTTTAAGTATTCGATTTTATTAAAGAAATATTTCGCACTTTGTTTTTTTTTGTTTTTTAACTTTAACACAACTTTACTTAATTTAATATTTACACTTTTTAAAGGTGAATATGAATGAAAACAGATTCATTCAATTTTTACCTTTAATATTTTTCATCTACTTGATTGTGATTTTAAAAATATGTAATTGCAAAGCGGGTTTTTTTAATATTGATTTTAATTTTAATATTTACAGTCTATGGTTTTTCCGTTACTTTTTAGTCTTTTCGGTATATTACGGTAATTTAAAAAGTCTCTGCGGCTCTTCTTCCGTATTTACGGTCTTGTGTTTGCCCATGTGTCCGGAAGTTTCTCTGCTCTTCTTCTGCTTTCTGTCAGTACATTAAAAAAAAAAACCTCCAGAGAAGAAGCTGTGGAGTTGTTAAACTTCTGTCGGGCTGGCGTGACGCGGAGGCCGGCTGGGTGACCCGGTGAACCCCCCGGGCCTGAAACATGGGCCTCCTGGCGAGGATCCGGAAAGAGTGGTTCATCATCGGGATCGTGTTGGTCATCTTATCCGCCAAAGTGCATCCCAGCGTCGGCGTGAAGGGAGGTGAGAGACCCGGAGTTTGGGACTTTTCCATCACGTCTTCACTCCCACTGAAGTTTTATTCAGACATAAAAATGAACTTTATTTGAAGATAAATACCAAACAAACTGCGAGCTACTTTGACTAAGTTTGACACCAGACTTGGAACGAATTTCTCCCATTTTTTCTTAACTATGAGTTTAAGATCACAATTTATCTCCCAGAGTAATACTTGCCACCTCAAAGTATTCCCCAAAAGCCACTTCTAAAATCGGCATGGAAGTTATCCACCAGCTTTCATCTTTTGTTTAAATAAATTGCCAACTTTTACCTTTTTTTAAACGTGTTTTCGCCCAGCGCGCCAGGGACGGAGACTGTAGGAATTTGAAGAAAACTCATCCTAAAAGTTGAATTTCTACACTAACATGTTTTATTTCGTGTGAATTATATATGCCGTAATGAAGTTCATAACCTTAAGCATATTTTGAGTTCTTAAAATATTGTATACTTTATGTTTATATTGGTAGAAATGAAGATTGCTGTAGAATTAGATATTTTCTAAAGGGAGTTTCGCCATACACACATCAGACAGGACAACACGTATTGGGGGCTGGTAGGCTTTCCCTCACAGTGGCTCGTGTGTGTGTGTGTGTGTGTGTGTGTGTGTGTGTGTGTGTGTGTGTGTGTGTGTGTGTGTGTGTGTGTGTGTGTGTTGTGTGTGTGTGTGTGTGTGGTGTGTGTGTGTGTGTGTGTGTGTGTGTGTGTGTGTGTGGTGTGTGTGTGTTACCTGGCGGTGTAGTGACACGTTGCATTACTAGCACTAATGTCAACACACTCACACACACCCCTCGTTTTGTATCCGCGCGTCCCTTCTGCGCATGCTCCGTATCACTATTTTCCTACTTCACATCTTTATTTATTTACTCTTAAAAAGGCTTAGATGAGTTTCTTCAGGTCTTTAGTGATAAGTGGAGTGTAAATGGAGTATAATCCATGAGCTCAGTCACACCTTCACATCCTTATCCTGGAGATTAGATAAGGTCCTGCTACTGTGAGGACGCTGCCTTCAGGTGCACCTCGTAAAATCCAGCTTCCTGTACTGTTGGAGCTGAAGTGCAAACATGCAGAACATCTTTTGACATTTGACAGGTCAAGATGGAGGTTGTTTAATTTTTGGGCTTTTTATGCCTTTTATTGGAGAGAGAGGACAGTGGATAGAGTCAGAAATCAGGGAGAGAGGGGGTGGGGAAGTAGCCACAAGTCGGATTTGAACCAAGGCTGCCCGCTACAAGGACTACAGCCTAATTACATGAGACAAACACTGTAACCACTTGGTCCCAGAACCATAGCTTGAAAAAAAAGAACTGCACCTATTTGAGAAGACAGGGCGCATAGGAGAGGAACGGGACATGACATAAAGGGTGAATTGTTTTTTTCTTTTTCTGTTGTGTGTTTTGAAAAAAAGGAAATGAATGAGTCCATCACAACTCGCAGGTAAACTCCTGCACACTGTCTGAATTGCAGAAATACATTTGCAACGTTTTGTGCAATTTAATTTTGACAGCGAGCTGGAGTTTCCCTGCATGTTTTAGGAATTGAAAACAAGAAATTACCCAAATATTGGGATCCTAGAATGTTTTTTCTAAGTTGCTGTGTCATCAGAAAAATCAAAACTGATGAGTCATCAAAACATTCACCCCCCGTACAGTGTGTGTCCATCCAGACATGAGCTAATCACACCTGTTTGGTTTTTTGAACCAGGCTATAAACATGTTCATCTCTGCTGTAAAAACAGGCTTTTTAGAATGGGTGTGTATGTGACTTCCTGTGTTTCTGCAGCCAGCCTCTAGTGGACACTCCAGGAACTGCAGGATTTTAACACTTCTGCATCAGCTTCATTTTTTTTTTAACACCGGAGGTCGCTGCTTGATACTCTCGAGTGACCGAGGTGCATAAATAAGTTTCTCTCTCTCTCTCTCTCTCTCTCTGTGTCTCTCTCTCTCTGTCTCTCTCTCTGTGTCTCTCTCTCTCTCTCTCTCTCTCTGTCTCTCTCTCTCTCTCTCTCTCTGTCTCTCTCTCTGTCTCTCTGTCTCTCTCTCTCTCTCTCTCTCTCTCTCTCTCTCTCAGGTCCTTTAAAGCCGGAGATCACCGTTGCTTACATCGCCGTCTCGCTCATTTTCTTCAACAGCGGCCTGTCGCTCAGATCAGAGGTATTAAAACCGAGATGAAATGAAAAACATAAGCTTGTGTTTGAAATGAAAGTGTGACGTGGTGTTTGTGTTTGAAGGAGCTGACCAGCGCTCTGCTCCACGTGCGGCTCCACCTCCTCGTTCAGACCTTCACGCTCGTCTTCATCCCGCTCGCCGTGTGGCTGCTGCTGCAAGTGCTCACACTCACCGCCATCGACCAATGGCTGCTCAGAGGGTACTGTGTGTGTGTGTGTGTGTGTGTGTGTGTGTGTGTGTGTGTGTGTGTGTGTGTGTGTGGTGTGTGTGTGTGTGTGTGTGTGTGTGTGTGTGTGTGAATGCCAGTCTTTGTGTGGCTCCCTGCCTGCGCTCTACCTGAGCTCAGGTATGCACGGACACAAAGAGACACATTCACCGCTGCACGCCAACGGCTCCTCTCATGCTGACCTACTTAACGCTGTTTTTTAAATTTAGATTTGATTTAAAAATATTCCAGCTCTCTCTCTCTGTGTGTGTGTGTGTGTGTGTGTGTGTGTGTGTGTGTGTGTGTGTGTGTGTGTGTGTGTGTGTGTGTGTGTGTGTGTGTGTGTGTGTGTGTGTGTGTGTGTGTGTGTGTGTGTGTGTGTGTGTGTGTGTGTGTGTGTGTGTGTGTGTGTGTGTGTGTGTGTGTGTGTGTGTGTGTGTGTGTGTGTGTGTGTGTGTGTGTGTGTGTGTGTGTGTGTCGTCATGTTTATCATTAAGAGCAGCCACGTGTTGGAGCTCCTGACCCTGACCTTTGACCTCTGTTAGAGAAAAGAGAAATGTTCACAAATGGGTTTCTCTTCTTCTTCTCTTCCTCCGTCACGGTTCCCTTCATCCTGTCGTTGCCTAGGTTACAGACGGTGAGCTGCATGCCCCCTCCGGTCTCGTCTGCAGTCATCCTCACCAAGGCTGTGGGAGGCAACGAGGTAACACACACACACACACACACACACACACACACACACACACACACACACACACCACACACTGAGGGACACACATACACACACCACACACTGAGGGACACACACCACACACTGAGGGACACACACACACACACACACACACACACACACACACACACACACACACACACACACCACACACTGAGGGACACACACCACACACTGAGGGACACACACACACACACACACACACACACAGAGGGACACACACACACACACACACACACACACACACACCACACACTGAGGGACACACACACACACACACACACACACACACACTGAGGGACACACACACACACACACAGACACACACACCACACACTGAGGGACACACACACACACACACACACACACACACTGAGGGACACACACACACACACACACACACACACACACCACACACTGAGGGACACACACACACACACACACACACACCACACACTCAGGGACACACACACACATTAGCAGGGAATAATCCTTCAAATGGTTTATAAAGTTAGAAGCAGTTTGACAGCATGTTTTCATGTGTGTGTGTGTGTGTGTGTCTGTGTGTGTGTGTGTGTGTGTGTGTGTGTGTGTGTGTGTGTGTGTGTGTGTGTGTGTGTGTGTGTGTGTGTGTGTGTGTGTGTGTGTGTGTGTAGGCTGCAGCCATCTTTAACTCGGCGTTCGGGAGCTTCCTGGTGAGATTTCTTAAAGTTTGTCGTTTTAATAATCTGATCTCTGAGAGCGAGTCGAAGCTGAACTCTGTTTCTGTTCTCCTGCAGGGAATCATCGTGACTCCTGTTCTGCTGCTGCTGTTTGTGAGTCTGATCACTGTGACCTCTGACCTCACACACCTGGTTGAACTGTGACCTCACACACCTGGTTAAACTGTGACCTCACACACCTGGTTGAACTGTGACCTCACACACCTGGTTAAACTGTGACCTCACACACCTGGTTAAACAGTGACCTCACACACCTGGTTAAACAGTGACCTCACACACCTGGTTAAACTGTGACCTCACACACCTGGTTAAACTGTGACCTCACACACCTGGTTAAACAGTGACCTCACACACCTGGTTAATCAGTGACCTCACACACCTGGTTAAACAGTGACCTCACACACCTGGTTAAGC